GAAATAATTAGGTTAACTGCATGAGTGGTTGTTTTTTTACACCTACCTTGTGCTCTCAATACCGTACTCATCGTAAATTTTGCATTAAAAAATAAACAATATCCGTTTAGCGGTCGTTTTTTGAAAATGACCCAGTCGTTCAATGAGTAATTTCCCGCCAAAAATTTAAGTGCCCGTGCGCGAGAACCACGCACGCCTGGGGGGCTGAATTCGAAAACTTTAAGTCGTAAGTGGATTGGGAACACTCCCTGAAAATTCCAGCTCCCCATCTTTACTAATTCCCGAGTCAGCCTTTTTCCCGCTAAAAAATTTTGCGGGGCCGTACGTGGGAACCGCGCAAGCCTGGGAGATGAATTTGATGAACTTAAGTCGCACATGGGCAAGGCACATCCCCTGAAAATTTCAGCTTCCCAGCTTTGCTAATTCCCGAGTTAGCCATTTCCCCGCCGAAAAATCTCACGGAGCCGTACACAGGAACCACGCATGCCTGGAGGCTGAATTTGACAAGTTTAAGTCGTAAGTGGATTGGAAACATTCCCTGAAAATTTCAGCTTCTCATCTTTACTAATTCCCGAGCTAGCCATTTTCCCGCCGAAAAATCTCACGGGGCCGTACGTGAGAATCGCGCATGCTTTGGGGATGAATTTGATGAACTCAAGTCGTACATGGGCTTGGAACATTCCCTGAAAATTTCAGCTTCCCAGCTTTGCTATTTCCCGAGTTAGCCGTTTTCCCGCCGAAAAAATCTCACGGAGCCGTAGGCGGGAACCACGCGTACCGGAAGGCTGAATTTGAAATCTTTGAGTTATATTTGGACGGGGAACATAACCTCAGGATTTCAGCTTCCTATCTTTTCGCGTTCCCGAATTATCAATTTTCCCGCCAAAACTTGCCCCCTCTCGTACGCGGGCCCAGACGTGCGTAAGGGATGGTACCGCGGTTCTGGGGTGGTACTTGGCCTAGGCACCCATTAGCAAAATCTCGGCGCTGGAACTTGCTTGGTTGCCGAGTTGAAATACCCGGACAGACGAACATACACACACACAAACATACGCACACATACATACACACAGACAGGATCGTCGCAATATAAGTTTTTGCGATTTGCATATAGGCAAAAACGCATAAAAATGGATTATGTGAAGAAAAAAGAAAGGAAGAATGCAAAAAGAAAAAACAAATAGCAACGCGAACCAGGGCATCCGATGCGATCATACGTTTTGTGCAATTTCGTCCACCGAAGGATTGCCGGTTAATGATTTTCACTGCTCCGG